TTTCTTTTTCTTGACGAATTGCTCTGGCTAGGATTTCCAGTACAATATTGAATAGCAGTGGTGAGAGCGAGCATCCTTTTCTTGTACCTGATCTTAAGGGGAAAACTTGCAGTCTTTCACTGTGGAATATGATGTTGGCTGTGAGTTTTTCATAAATGCCCTTCATCGGGTTGAGGAATTCCATTCCTAGTTGTTGAGTGTTTTTATTACAAAAGATGTGTTGGATTTTATCAAATCCTTTTCGGCATTAATTCACGTGGTTTTCCCCTTCATTCTATTAATGTGCTGTATGTATTACATTGACTGGTTTTCATATGTTGAACCATCCTTGAATTGCTGGGATAAATCGCATGTAGTCATGGTGTACATTCCTTTAACATGCTATTGGATTTGGTTTGCTGTTTTGTTGAGGATTTTTGCATCTCTATTCATAAAGGCCGTTGATTGGTAGTTTCTTTTCTCGTATGTTTTTGTCTGCCTTTGATATCAGGATAATGTTGGCCTCGTGCAATGAGTTAAAAAGGCTCCCTCCTTTTCTACTTTTTGGGAAGACTTGTACACTGAAAATGAAACAAACACTGCTGACAGATATTAAAGGAGATTGAAATAAATGGAAAGACATCTTGTGTTCATGGATGGGAAGACTTGATATCGTTAAGATGGTAATAATCCCAAGTGATCCACAGATTCAATGCAATCCCTGTGGAAATCCCACTTGCTCTCTTGGCAGAACTGGAAAAGCTCATCCTAAGATTCATATGGAATTGTGAGGGCCCCCAAACAGTCAAACAATTTTGACGGAGAACAAAGTTGGAGGACTCATACTTCTTGGTTGCAAAACTTACTACAAAGCTACATTAATAAATGCAGTGTGGGACTGACAGAAGGATCAACATAGAGATGTAATGGAATAGAACAGAGGCTCTATAAATAAACTAATGCACATATGGTGAATTTATTTTCCATGAGGGTGCTAAGACTATTCAATGAGGGAAAGAATGGTGGTTTCAACAAATGATGCTGTAACAACTGGACAACTGGATATCCCCATGCAAAAGTGAGGTTGGACTCCTGCTTCACACCATATACACAAATGAACTCAAAACGATCAAACCTAACTATAAGAGCTAAAACGATAAAACTCTTGGAAGAAAACAAAGGAGTAAATTTTCACAGCCTTTTACTTTGCAATAGTTTCTTAGATACGACACCAAAAGCATAAGTAACAAAAGGAAAAATAAATTGAACTTTATCGGAATTAAGAACTTTTTGTGCATCAAAGAACACTATCAAGACAGTGAAAAGACAACCTCCAGAATGGGAGAAATATTTAAAAATCATATATCGGAGAGGATTTAACAACCAGAGTATAAGAATCCTTACAACTCAACCAAAAAAGACAACCTAATTAAGAAATGGGCAAAGGCCTTGAACATACGTTTCTCCAAACAAGATCTACAGAGGGCCAACAAGCACATGGAAAGATGCACGTCATTGGTTATTCAGGAAATGTAAGTCAAAACCACAATAAGATATCACTTTATACCCACTAGGATGGCTAAAATCAACAAAACAGAAAACAGTAAGTACTGGGGAGGATGTGGCAAAATGGGAACCCTCATATGTCGCTGGTTGGGTTATTAAATGGCACAGCCACTGTGGAAGGTAGGTTAGCAGCCCCTCACTAAGTGAAACACAGGCTTGCCATATGACTCAGCAGTCTCCCCCCAGGTGTGTACCCCACAAGAATTAACAGGTGTGCAAACAAAACCTGTACACAAATTTCACAGCGGCACTATTCGCAATAGCAAAAAGCTGGAGACAACCCAAACATGCATCAACTGATGAATGAATGCAATTATGGGATTATTCGGACAATGGAAAATCACTCAACCATAAGAAGGAATGGAGTGCTGACACAGGCTACACCATGGATGAACCCTGAAGACATCACGCTAAGTGAGAGACGCCAAACACTAACAGTCATGTATTTTATAATTCCCTTTATATGAAGTATGCAGACTAGGCAAATCCATGGAGATGGAAAGCAGATTATTGGAGTCAGGTGCTGGGTTGGGGGGAGGGGAGGAATAAGGAGTGACTGCTTACTGGGTGTAGAGTTTCCTTTTAGGGAAAAGCAACTGTTCTGGAACTAGGCAGTTGTGCTGGCCGCACACGCTGTGAATGTACTAATGCCACTGAACTCTACACTCTAAAATGGTTAAAAGGGGAAAAATTTGTTATATTTATGTAACCACCCCCAAAAATGTTTCCAATAATTGAATCGAGCACTTAAAAGAGCTTTCCTTTAATGTATCCATCCGTGTTGACATAACTGGTTCATGTCTTTCAGTGGAATTACGTGCCTTTGAAATAAAAGCAAAATGGTTTCGAAACCATGTCCAAGTTGAGTAAATTCACTACCTCTTGTGTCAACTCCATAGAATTAACACTGAATTCCAAGAACTATTGCATACTCTAAATTTACCAACACCAATAGAGTACACTTCAGATTTTTCTTGTGCAACCTTCCACACCCCTCCAGCTGTACGGTCTCAGAGAGGTCGGACTGGGTGAGTCAGTCTTGGGGTTGGTCTACTGGATTTTCTCACTCTGTCATGCCTGTGAGTGTCTTTATATTAGTTTTCTCTTTTGTCTTTCTTGCAATGACGGTACTATGAAAAAATGAAGTATTTTAAAAATAAGACAAAGGAAGGAACCCAGGATGGTGGGAGGTGTTCATGCTCCGTCCGTGACCTTGGCCATTTTTTAGAAGCCAAAGCAGGTCCTCTTAAGAGCTGAAGCTGCATCCTGAACTTCTCTAAGCCCAAGTTTCTGGGATGTTGTAAACTTATATCCCAAATAGGGCACAAATGGAAGACACCGTTCTCGTATGAGAAGAAAATAACTGTGTATGAGAAAATGCGTCCTTCGCACTGAGAAACAGAGACGACTCTGTGCGATAGCAGGAGACTAGCAGATTTCCTCTAAGTGAATTAACACTGTTTTCTTGGAACCCTTCCACCTGGGAGAGGACGGAGAGCTTTCTGGCTGAGGAGAGGGAACACCCCTCGGAAGACCGAGGCCAGGCTGCATTGGGAAAGGTTGGGAGTTGGAGGGCTACGAGTTTGCTGAACTCCTGTGATCGCAGAGGGTGAGCCCCGCAGACTTTCCAGCCGCGTCTCCACCCAGTACCATTGCAGGTACTGAATTTCAGTCAAGATGAGAGCTTGTACCTCCTTCTGGGCTCTAGAGAAAGACCACTCCACTGGCCCGGATCTGGGGGGCAGGAGAGGGTGGTCGGAGTGGGCGAGAGGACTGAAGGTGGCCCTGGGCTGGCGCGGGCCTGAAGTAGGGCTGTAATCGGCACAGGGTTCCAGACAAGGGCGGGGGCTGGGCCTCGGGCTGAGGCAGAGGCTGGGGCCGAAGACCCTTTAGCCTGAAATCGCATGATGAAGAATCAGGGAAGATTCTGGTGGGGAACCGCTCCCAGAAACCATGACAGTAGCCACCAGGGACCCACTGTGCAGAGAGCGGAGGCCCCAGGAGAGCGGGTCCGTTCTGTTGCCAATGGTCCCATGAGGTCATGGGATTAGGGAGCAGCTGAGGACACTGCAGCTTCTCTGGTTTGCCCTCGGTGTTCCAGAAGCATTAAAAGGACTCACTGTTGTCCAGCTCGTCTGCGAGTGACTCTGAGGTAGTCCCAGAATTCAGTCTGTAGTCTGGCCTCAGTGTTTTGGGAAAATGGTCCTGCCCTTTTTCCTTTCTTCCCCCACATCTGAAAATCCACTCTCTTTGCGACTCGTGTCTCCTGGACATCAGGTCTCAGCTGCCTGGTTCCAGAGGCTCCCCAAAGAGAGGCCTCTCAGGGACAGAGAGAAAGAAGCGTGCGGGAAGGTACAAGGAATGTGTCCTTGGCAGATGCCCGCCACCAGGAGAAGGCCAACATGGGCACATGTTTTAAAATGTGCCAGAGATCAGACACATGGACACGAAAAGGACTGTTATTAAGGAAGGAGTTTTATCCTTACAGATCCCGAGAAACAGGAGGCCCGGCACACCGCGTGGGGCCCCATGGGAAAGAACCAGCATTGGTCAGGAGCCAGAGGAGCGAGAGGAAAGCGTGGGCGAGAGCCTTGGTTGCTTTCATGGGAAAGGATGGGTGAGGCTGGGTAATCAGGCCAAGCAGGTTTAAGATTGACTAGTTTGAATATTTCCAGCCGGCTCCAGGGTATAGGGGCCGTCCCCCGTTGTCTGGTACCCGGCCCTCAGGGAGTCAGGACGGGGGAATATCGGCTCCTCCCGTGAGAGCTCCATAAAGGAGGTTGGCAGGCGTGGGCTCTGGATTGGGGGGTCTGCCTATGAAGGTCGCCCTCCCAGGCAAGAGATTTGCTGTCTCTAAGAATTGGGTAGCCCTCGGAGGGGCAGTCTTTCCCTTCAACGAGGCCCCAGGTGCCAGAGCATCAAGAATCCAGAAAATAAGAAACTATAATTAATAACGGCAGACGTGAGAGGTCCCTGCTGGGATTGTGGGACGGAGGGGCCAGCCTGGGGGGCTGTTTGGGGCTGGGCTCCCGGGGACAGTGTGCGGAAGGGTGGAGTCGGGTCTGCCTGAGTGGGACAAAGTGGGGTCTCGTGGTGGGGAGCAGAGAGGGTTGGGGGTGGGCGATGACAGGGAAATGAATCAGGCAGATTCAGCCTGCGCAACCCCAGCTGTTTCCAGGCAAGCTCTGCACAGTGGAGCCCGGGTGGGACCAGATGAAGGCAGGAACAAAGGCGGCTTATGGGAGGCCCAGAATGTCCCTTTCACATTGGACCCTGGGAGCCCCAGGAATTAGCACAAACAGTGAAATGGTCCACGATGGTAACAGTAAGGCTCACGTGTGCAGCGCCATGTCATTTACAAAATGCTGGCACAGGCAGCACCCCCGGGAGCCTCACAACTTCCGGTGAGGGATGCAGACCGGATGCCGTCTCTCATGGAGCGTCCCAGAGTGATCCTCCAGCATCCACCTCTGCGGCTCACAGCGCCACCCAGTGGTCAGACCCGTGGCCCGGCTCCATGGCTCCCTCGGGCCCCTGGCTGGGCAGAGCCCGGAATCTAAGGTGCTCTTCCCGTGAGCCCCTCCTCTGGGGCGTTGCTAGGACATCTGATCAGAGGCGTTCGGAGGCCCAGCACTGGCCCCAGATCAGCCCCAACGCCAAGGGAAGGCTGTGCCCCGGGACACCTGAGATGCAAAGATGACTGATGCACACGGTTCACTGACGACCATCCGACTGTTCCGAGTAAGGGTCCCAGACTCTCTCGGGAGCCCGATCCACGGCTACTGACTCACCCCATCTGAGTTTCTACCCTGTGTCTCTCTGCCACCCTCAGTCTGTGAGCCATGGATGGAAGCCCCGGTCCCTCCTCCAACCCCCACCCCACCCTGCCTGTTCCCAGCAGGATGCTGGTTAGTCTTTCCTGAGAGTTCTGGCCCCAGGCAGCTCTCTACCCCCAGTAACCGCCTTAGAAAGGCAGGGAGAGAAGCATCACGCAGTCTTCCTGGGACTGGGCCTTGCCTTTCCTTACCTGATCTGTGTTTCCAGTTTTCTTCCACATTAATAGAAATGGATTCCTCTTTAGGAAATGGAGAAACCAGAAGGAAGAGCCTGGCCCCACAGGAAGCAGAAGACAGACCTGATCCTCCAAGAAGCCAGGCTTGAGCTCCGCCAGGGGCCACTCACCCCATTCAGGAGAAGAGAGAGATTCGCCCATCAAGCGGGTGCAGCTGGCCGCTGAGACGCGGCGCCTAGGAGCTGAGTTCCGGGCCCGCATCGCATCGCATCGCAGAGCCGTGGCGCCGTCACAGAAGGTTCTGAAGCGTGGGGGGGAGGACACAGAGAGGATGTGAACCCTCTGCCCGAGCCCCACCATCCAGCCTCGCAGATCCCCCACCTTTCCTCAGCTTGGTATCTCCCTCCATTCTTCTCTGGACTGCCCTATTTTGCAAAGTCATCAGAATATTCTCATTTATTTCACATATAACCGAGATATTAACTATGTCCACCTTTCAACCCGCCGGGCCTCAGACAGGATGGTCTGTTTAATTGAGAGAGCCCCAGATTCAGGGCCAGGATTCCAGAACTGGCCTCCAGTCAACACGGAACCTGGAGCAGCAGTCTTTCCTTGCTCTGAGGCTCAGATCTTTCCTCTATGAATGAGAAGTTTGGACTGGATTGGGGTCTCCCAAACTGGGTCCCGTGGAACACTATATCCCAAGAAGATGGTGAAATTTGGGCCCATGGCGGAGGGGGTGGATTTCAGGGTCAAATACGGAAATTCTGACTGTGGCCCCCTCTTTGCAGTTCGAATGCACATTAGGGTGCCAAGACCCCTACAAAGATCCGCAGCGAAGAAATCTCTTCAATTTTCTTCAATTCGTCATTTCCAAACGTTATTGATCACAGAACATTCTCATCCCTTTTTTTTGGAAAATCAATTAAGATCTTCAGGAATATAATCTTTGATAAATTAGTTGGGGAAATTATGAATGAGGTGATTGCTAAATTCGCTTTAAGCTATCAATGTGTCATATTTTTGGAAAATAGGAGTCCTAAATTAGGAGACACTATCTAAGTTAAAAATGAAATCATTGGGGCTGGCCCCGTGGCAGAGTGGTTAAGTGTGCGCGCTCTGCTGCGGCAGCCCAAGGTTCGGATCCTGGGCGCGGTCATGGCACTGCTCGTCAGGCCACGTTGAGGCAGCGTCCCACATGCCACAACTAGAAGGACCCACAACTAAGATATACAACTATGTACGGGGGTGGGGTTTGGGGAGATAAAGTAGAACAAAAAAAAAAAAAGATTGGCAACAGTTATTAGCTCAGGTGCCAATCTTTAAAAAAAAAATGAACTCATCAGGGCCAGCCCGATGGTGCAGCAGTTAAGTGTGAACGTTCTGCTTGGGCGGCTGGGGGTTTGCAGGTTCAGATCCCAGGTGCGGACATGGCACCACTTATCAAGTCATGCTGTGGTAGGCGTCCCACATATAAAGTAGAGGAAGATGGGCACGGATGTTAGCTCAGGGCCAGTCTGGAGGATTGGTGGCAGATGTTAGCTCAGGGCTAATCTTCCTCAAAAACAAAGACAGAAAGAAAAAATAAAAAAAGTGAACTCCTAAGACAAGGGGGCCAGTTGGTCGAGCACAGTAAACATTGGTGCAGCCCACAGCAGACTCCTCCAGCAGGTGGAATAAGAAATCCCGCCCAGATGGGGGCACACAGACCAGCTGCCTCATCCCAGCCCTTCCCCTGGGATCCTGGCCCACAGCCGTGTCCTCTTCTCAGGCAGGAAGGTAAACGAGAGAGAAAGAGCTGCCTTTGTTCCTGCCCAGGGCCCAGAAGGTCCCCTCCTTTCATCTTCATGAGAACATTGTCATAAAAGGCCTCTCCTTTATTTCAAAGCTGATGTTACAGTGCTGACCGCAGCGGGTGTGTTCCTAATTGCGTTTCTGTTTCCCCTTGAGAGGATTGTTTCACACTGACGTGTGAAATAGACTCAGTTCTTCCCTTTTCCCCCTCAGCATCCTGTGTTGCTGATTTCGTTGGTTCCTTCGTTCTCCAAGGAGATGTTATACCTGCCAGGGGCTGGACCTGAGGACTCAGCGGGAACCACAGAGGCCACCCTCACTGCTCTGTGTGTGCTCATGGCTCCTCAAATACACTGTAATTCACTGGGGCAAAGCCTGGGTCTGCCTCTCTGATGTCTGATGGGCCCACAACAGTGACATATGAAGACGGATGCTTGCACACACTGGGGACCCCCCACATAGCTGCTGGGTGGGTGAGAGAAAGAACGAACGATCGACCGCACCCAGCAGGCAGGTGGTCAGGCTTTGAGATGAAGCTGTGCCCCAAGAGGGGGCAAAGCGGATCTTTCGTTCCATAGAAAGTGGGTTTTTCACTGCTCCGCATTTACAAACACAGGCATTCAAACAAGAAAACGTGGGCCTGAGAATGGATCCAAATCTTTGGGAATGAATTCTCAGAGGCCCACATCACCTTGTGAGCATGTTCCGAAGAACATCAGGACTGAAACCTCTGCCCACTCTCACTGGTGATCTCAGGCCCGTAACTTCTTTTCTCCGACCTTCTCTTTCTCAGCCTAGAATGGGGATTTCATTAATTCTTTCACAGAGATCGTCGTGAGAATTAAATGAAATGATGTGCAGAGGAGTCAGCATGTTACATGTACAGAAGCATATTGATTCTGCAATTTCAACTATGTATGTGTGGCAAAACAAATTTTAAAGGAAGGCATGGAAAGGAAAGTGCTTCCCTGGGGCCGGCCTGGTGGCGTAGTGGTTAAGTTCCCACGCTCCACTTTAGCGGCCCAGGGTTCACAGGTTCAGATCCTGGGCAAGGACCTAGCACCTCTCGTCAAGCCACGCTGTGGCAGCATCCCACATAAAATAGAGGAAGGTTGGCACAGATGTTAGCTCAGGGCCAATCTTCCTCACAAAAAAAGAAGAGAAAAGAAAAGAAAAATTGCTTCCTAAATTAATGTAAATATAAGGCAAAAATATAATAATAGGATTCTTCTTTGGGGCAGGAAAAATAATTTAAAATTCAGATAGAAGAATAAATATTCAAGACCTGCCACGAAAAAGTTTGAAAAGTAATAGTGGAGGAAATTGCCTTAGGAAATATTAGGTCTGAACTTGAGTCTAAAGGTAAAAAGAAGTATGGTTTTGGCACCGAAATACACAAATATGTCATTAGCCAAGAACAGAGAGTCAAAAAAGAGACTCAAGCCTATGTGAGAGCGTAAAGTCGGATAAAGGCGACATTTCGGTTCAGTGGGTTGACTGGTTTATTTACTAAGAGGGGCCAGCGTAATTAACTCTGCGCCTGGGCTGAATTAAGTAAAGTCCTTTCTGTACACTGTCTACAATAATAAATTCCAGATGGATTAAAAACTTCACAACAACTAAAACTTTGAAAAATTAAAAAAAAATGTAGGTGCTGGGAAATGTCTTATCAGGTAAGGTTTGAGGCCCGGAAGCCGTGAAGAAAAGGGTGGACAGATTTAATTTCCTAAGTGTTCGATTTTTCTCTATAAATAATGATACCACAAATAAAGTCGAAAGACAAAGACGATGAGGACACAGAGACTGCCAGGACGTGTTTATAACACATATACCAGATAAAAGGGTAATTTGTAGAGGTTTCCTACAAATTGTAGGAAAATAAATAGCTCAATTAAGAAACAGAGGAAGAAGAGACTTCCATTTTCAGATGTTTTAGAATAAGTATTCAGAGGAACCCTTCTCAGTACACAAAGATTTAAAAATGCTTGAGAGTATAAGTAAAATATATATATGTTTTTGGAGGAAGGCTGGCCCTGAGCTAACATCCGTGCCCATCTTCCTCTACTTTATATGTGGGACGCCTGCCACAGCATGGCTTAATAAGCAGTGTGTAGGTCCACGCCCAGGATCCGAACCAGTGAACCCTGGGCTGCTGAAGCAGAGCACACGAACTTAACTGCTACACCACTGGGCTGGCCCCTACAAGTGAAACATTTTTAAAAGCATGACTGAGCTGGCAGTGAAGTCAGAGAAACAATGAGAGGGCAAGAACTACAAGAAAATGCTAGCCAGACGGTAAGCATGTGCTGGAGTCAGTGTTTGCTCAAGGGATCATCAAAAAATGAAAGAGAGAACTGCCATATGATCCAGCAATCCTACTTCTGGGAAAACATCCAAAGGAACAGAAACCAGGATCTCAAAGAGATATCTACACTCCGTGTTCATTGCAGCCTTATTCACAACAGCCAAGACCTGGAAACACCTGAATGTCTACAGATGGATGAAGAGATAAAGAAAATATGGTATATACGTACAATGGAGTATTATTCAGCCATAAAAAAGAGGGAAGTCCTGCCATTTACAACAACCTGGATGAACCTGGAGCACGCTATTCTACGTGAAATAAGCAAGACTCAGAAGGACGATGAATACATGATACCACATAGACGAGGAATCGAAAATAGTGAAACTCACAGAAACAGGGTAGAATGGTGGTTGCCAGCGGCTGGTGGGTGGGAGAAACGCATGTATTACCCAAAGGGTACTATGTTTCAGTTACACAAGATGAATGGTCCTGGAGAACTCCCACACAGCTTAGTGCTTCCAGCTAGCAATATTGTACACTGAAAAATTTGCTGAGAGGGTGGATCTCATCAGAAAGAAAAAAATAATATTAAATGAAGAGGGTGGGAGGAAACTTTCGGAGGTGGTGGGTATGTTTGCGCATTGATTGTGGTGACGGTTTCACAAATGTCTACTTATCGCCGAGCTCATCAAGTTTTAGACGTTAAATACGTGCGGCTTTTCGTCAGTTATACCTCAATAAAGCAGTTTTAGAAAATAAAATTTAAATCATTTTTGAATGGAAGATGACACAATATGCATATTTGAGCCAGCTAAAAACTCATGTGACTAGGCATCAAAGATTGCATGTCAGAAAAAATATACTTTATGACAAGAAGCATTATCAGAGAAAAGGATGTCGCCTAAGGATGATACGAGGAAGGTACTGCGGTCCTAAGTCTGCATGTCCCCAGTATCAGAACTTTAAAATGTAGAAAGCACAAACTGATAGAGCTTAAAAAATAAAAGATGGGCGGGCCTGGTGGTGCAGTGGTTGAGTTCATGCACTCCACTTCTGTGGCCCCGGGGTTCGCTGGTTCAGGCCCTGGGGGCAGCCATATGCACCGCTTATCAAGCCATGCTGTGGCAGGCATCCCACGTATAAAGTAGAGGAAGATGGGCACAGATGTTAGCTCAGGGCCAGTCTTCCTCAGCAAAAAAGAGGAGGATTGATGGCAGATATTAGCTCAGGGCTAATCTTCCTCAAACAGAATAAAATAAAGGTACAAATCCAAATTCATAGCAGGAGACTTTAATGTAACCTGCTTGGTTGCTGACAGAAAGTAAGGAAAAAAATCAAGACTATAGAAGATCTAAAAAAACCACAACAAACTTGACCCAATTAATATATAGAGAACACTGCAACTGATGATGGCTGAATCCACACGTTTTTCAAGTGCATGTGGAATATTTACCATATGCTGGTCCCCTAAAAAAAGCCTCTATTCATTGCAGCATTCTTCACAATTGCCAAGGTTGGAAACAACACAAGTGCCCTTCAATGGATGAATGGATAAAGAAGATGTGGTATATAAATACAAGGGAATACTACTCAGCCATGAAGAAGATGAAATCTTGCCATTTGCAGCAACGTGGATGGACCTGGAGGGTATTAGGCTAAGGCAAATAAGTCAGATGGAAAAAGGCAAATACCGTATGATTTCACTCTTATGTGGAAGATAAACAAACAAACAGATACAGAGAACAGATTAGTGGTTACCAGAGGGGAAGGGGGTAGGGGGACGGCGAAAGGGGTGAAGGAGCATGTGTTTGCGGTGATGGATGGAAACTAGACTTTTGGTGTTGAACACGATGTGTCTATACAGAAGATGGAAT